GGACATGGAAGCTGAGACCCATGCTACTCTCTCCTGCCACCTGCTGGCCCTTCCCTTCATCTCTGGTTTCTCCAGGACACTGGTGGTGTGCGCTCAGGATAATACATTTCCAGGAGGCCTCTGCCACCCAGAATCCCCCGGGGTGTGTGCAGGGGAGCTGCCTAAAAGGGTAAAGCTTGGATGACTTCCAGTGGATCTTGCTAAATCTAGGAAAACCATAAATTCACAGACAATGAGGGCTGCAAGAAACCGTGGTACTGGTTCTAACCCAAAGCCCTCAAACTGATAGCTCATGGGCAATGGACAGCCCACAGGCAGACCTGGTTTGGTCCAGCAATGTTAAATTATTTTGACCTAACATACAAATTGGGAAATTTGACTTAAAAATCAGGTTTCTAATGTAATTTGCTACTGGATATCAGAAGTCTCAAAGCTGAGAGTGGTAAGTAGTTAGTTGAGTACATCCATGTTCTAGTTGGAAGACACACCAATAACCAGATTACGATGGTGCCTGTCACAAAAGACCCTACCCTTGGCCCATGTGGAGGATTAAGCGGTGACCTTCCTTAAGTCTACCTTTCTAGCCTCTGCCCACTTTGGGAGAAGCCAGCTGCCGGGGAAGGGGGTGGGGAGTGGGAATGGGGGCTGCGTTGGAAGAGGCAGAGTGAAGAATCAGACCTGAGCCAGAAGGTGGGTTGATGTGTTGAATTATATTTGTGATTTCAAGTGTGATTTAAATTAGACTGGGACTTTTTAAAAATATACAGATATATAGTTTTATTGATTTCAGAGAGGAAGGGAGAGGGAGAGGTAGAAACATCAATGATGAGAGAGAATAATTGACCAGTTGCCTCCTGCACGCCCCACTCTGGGGATCCAGCCCACAACCCAGGTATGTGACCAGACCTGGAACGTGACCTGGATGTGACCTTCTGATTCACAGGTTGACGCAGGCCAGGCCGAGACTGGAACTTTTAATATGTACAAGGAAATTATCATTTTAAAATGGAACTGTTCATGTATTGAGAAGTGATCAGAAAGTCACAGAATCTGGCCTATTCATACAAGATGCATGATTAAAGGGCTGGGAAGGGAAATCAGAGTATTGAAGAAAGTGACTGGGGAAAAAAAAGCCATTTCTTTTTTCCTTGCCCTATCAAGTTCAGCCTGTCAATGAATCAGTTACTCACTGGTTTCCCTTGTACACTGTATTTCCCCATGGCAATTCTTAGCCAGAGCAGAGGAGCAGCTGTCCTCTTTAGCAGAGGTAGGAGCTCATGCAGGGTGTATGCGCACACTTGCTCACCTCGCCTCACCAGCCCTCATGTCCCTAACCTGCCTGATCCTACAGCACTGGGATTTATAATCCTTGATCGAGTCCTATTCTACATTTTCCAGTGGGCACAAAGAAGCCTGGAGGGGACCAATGACTTGTCTAAGTCAGACAGAAAAGCAGCTGAGTTGTACTCTAAAATCCACGCTCCTGAAGGTAAAATCCAGGGGTGGAAAGGTATATGGCTACCTTTGCTTCCTTCTACTGTGCACAGCCTCACCCATACTAGATCTTTCCTCCCATCCTTCCGACCCGGTAAGAAGATGTACCAGGACACTGGGTAGCTAAGGGAGCGGACTGGGGGTGGGAGAGAGAATCAAAGGGAAGTTGGGGCGGTGACATCTTCAGTTGCCGGAGGCCAGTCCTGTTCCCACCACCTCCAGCCCCACCCTGAAGCACAAACAGATGAAAGCAAGTGGCCTTCTTCCTGTCCCTGGATCGTTCTACACTGAAGCCAGCTTTTAATTGGAACACAGGAGCTTCTTCAGAGACAACCTGTCCTGTGACTTGGTGCACAAGCAGAGGTTGTGTAGGGTGGGGACACCACTTTCCCACCACCTCCAGCCCCACCCTGAAGCACAAACAGGTGAAAGCAAGTGGCCTTCTTCCTGTCCCTGGATCATTCTACACTGAAGCCAGCTTTTAACTGGAACACAGGAGCTTACTCAGAGACGACAACCTGTCCTGTGACTTGGTGCACAAGCAGTGGTTGTGTAGGGTGGGGACACCACGGCACTCCTAACCCTCTTGTTCCTCTCCATTTCTGAACTCATCACCTTTCCCTACGCCCCAGCAGCCAGGTATGATGTCTGGGAAGTGGCTGGGCATTTTCTCTTGGGTTAAATGCCCCAGGATGCAAAGGCAGAGAGAAGCCCCTCCCCCCTCTTTCCTTAGCTGAGTCACTGGTACATCCAGGCAAGAATCCCCAGGCTCACTGAGTCCAGATCTAGAATTGTTGTCTTTAATCAAACAAACAACTAGTAAGAGTGGTCGCCTCCAAGAAGGGAAGCTGTAAACACTCATCACCCTTTTCTTCTTTGAAGTGGACTTTATTTATTTATTAAATATATTTTTATTGACCCCAGAGAGGGAGAGGAATAGAGAGATAGAAACATCAATGATGAGAATCATTGATCGGCTGCCTCCTGCACACCCCTCACTGGGGATTGAGACTGTAACCTGGGCATGTGCCCTGACCGGGAATCCTACCGTGACCTCCTGGTTCATAGGTCAATGATCAACCACTGAGCCAAGGTGGCTGGGCTCCATAGCTGGTTTTAAATGTGGCAGCATACTGCTTTCCACCAGCAGAAGAGGGACCAAGTGGGAGGGGCTCCCCTTTGGGCGTGTGGGGCAGGAACATGGACCACCTTCTCCCTTCTTGTTGAAAAGGGGAATGTCTTCTAACCATCGGCACCAGAATAAAGCTTTTTCTGTAACCAAATTTAAGCTCTATTTCAGACCTTCCACCCCTTTCTAAAGACACTTAAAGCAATTCTAATTTTGAAAAAAGTTATGTAAGCCTCACTGATGCTGAGTACATTAACCATAAAATAAAAATTTCAGGCCCGGCTGGGGTGGCTCAGTGGTTGAGCGTCGATTCATGAAACAGGAGGTCATGGTTCGATTCCTGGTCAGGGCACATGCCTGGGTTGCAGGCTTGATCCCGTTGGGGGCGTGCAGGGGCAATCATCAGTGATTGTCATCATTGATGTTTCTATCTCTCTCTCCCTCTCCCTTCCTCTCTGAAATAAAAAAATATATTTTTAAAAATTTCAGTTTTGGAGGAATGTGTTATAATGAAGTTAAGAGCTTCACAGCTGAAGAGAATTCTGGCAAGGCTGAGCTAGGTAAAAGGGCACTGCTTCTAATATTTTTCTCTACCTTTTTCAGTCTGTAATTATGACCTGTTGATCCTGAATTTGACCAGAGTGAAAATGGTTCAAGACCAACAGAAGAGCCTGTAACACCTGTAAGATCCTTTTCTCAAAAGCATGTCCCAGAGACGATAAGCAAATGTTAGTCTTCTCTATGCAAGGCAAACTGCTGAGGCAGAAACCAAAACACCAGCCGGAGCGCAGGCAGCTAAGGCCTCATCTAGGCAGGATGTGAAATGTCAGGCCATTCGTCTTATATTTTTACTGTGTGGTTACAGGATGGGGTTGATGTGGGAATGAAAAACAATACTGACTCGGGAGAATTCCTTCTTTTTTTTAGCCTTAAATATTGACACCCACTCACCAGGTTTGGAAACTAGCAAAAGCTACACGGGCTTCTAGGGTGAGCATTCATTTCCCTTGGCCTCCATTCCCTGGCTGTCCACAAAGGCAGAAAATGCCAAGTCAGCGCCAATCGGTGCATGCCAACAGCAGAGGGCACAGACCTGTTTCTTTTCTTTTTTTGTCAGTCCTCACCCGACCGAGGATATTTTTTTCCATTGATTTTTTCTTTTTTTTCCAGAGACTTGTTTATTTCATTTGGCTACAGTGCCAAACTATAGTCACAACCACTATGGTAGAAAGCTCAAGAGTTCTTCCAGTAACTGCTACAACCATGAAATCAGAAAGACAAATGAAGCAAACAAATGAGACAAAAAGACAGAGGTGCATACATTCTAACAATAAACCATAGTTAATACATGGCATTTGATAGGCATTTGTATTTTCAGTATACTCCTGAGTCTGATAAGTATACTTACGCATCTCTACATTTTTCCATATGAAAAGTCTGGTTTCAACCTATATTCCCCATGTAGAATAATTTACTCAAAACCTTAAATCCCAGAATTCTAGTAGCTAAGGCCATTAAAACCAAAAAGATGCAGGTATTGACTGCCCTGATTAGTGAGAAATATAATCCAAATGCCGACTAATAAATATTTAAGAATTCAAATATGCCTTTACAGCTGGGAGAATGTTTCTGTGGCTCTCTCTACCCCAATACCTCTCTGAGTGACGTTAGAGTACGCACTACCACAGAAGCGGTGAATGTATTAACAGAACACAGGTCTGGAGCCACTACCTTCACCAATGGTACCATTCCAACAAGTCTTCATGTTGGCAGACTCACCCTGGTCAGGGCCTCAGGCAGGACCTGGGGCGGGGTGGGG